GTTCAGCAGCAAAGCAGATGCACAGAGAGGCTATGGAAGCTTCGTAGCTGCTTTGGCAAGACCCTGACCAGCCTAATGTAACACTGAAGTTTGTTCTGCTCCGAGCTTTTAGTTCTTAAGTATTATGCATCTGTGGAGTTCTTACATAACAATGGATATACACTGTTCAAGGTTGCAAAGGTTTTTATCTTTTTTATCTTTTTTCTTTTTTTTTTATTCAGCTTTTTCAAAAATACCTACAGTTCTCCATTCCAATAATATGTCCTTGATGAACTTTGTGTAGCTGTTACAGTGCTAAGATGCAATATTAAGATCATTAATGTTTGGTTTTGTTTTGTGGTTTTTTTTTTTCTTTTCTCCAACAGGTGAAAGCATTTTAGTTTGCAAGCCCTCAGAAAAATCAAAAGGAACTGCTCTACTTCAGGGATCTCTCAAGCCTGTTTGCAGTTGTTTGCTTAGAAGAGAAGGGGAAGGTGTTGCTTCTAGCATGAAAAGAGCAATACTTGAGGTACAGGACACGTGGAGAGGAATTAGAACCGTGCTTGCACTCTTGTAATTGTAGGATGGTTTCTTTTGTGACACCATCAAATGTTTTCTGTGCACTTTCTTTTTCTTCTGTTTCCTCCCTTGTCAACCCAAGCAGCTTCAGAAGAAAATTACTTGGGTCTGCCTGCTTGCTTCAGTATTCAGCATTTTGTTTGGTATGTTTCAGTCTCTGCTTGCTGCAGATGAGGATGTGAGCACAGTCAAACAGGAGTTACTAAGCTTTGCTTTTGCATTTAGATATACTCAAACTGCAGGCATAAATAAGTGTAATTCTTAAACTTCATGTGCGACCTGACAGTCTTAACTGGGAGATACTTGTACATTACTAATCCCAGAGGCTTTGTTGACTGAATTAATCCATAATGACATTTGTAGAACCTTGTAGAGTCCCTTATTTCCCTCCTCAACTTATCTACCTCTTTTGCACAGAAATGATTGAAATTTTGTAAATACATTTTTGGTAAACAAACAGGTGTGGTACCCCATTTGCTCCCTTTAGCCTGCCCTCCTCTGTAGGGTTCCTACAGGAGTAAAAAGGACCAAAAGGGTGTTATTCCACATAGGTGAGCTTATCTTCTTTTCCAATGTTGCTTTGGGCTTGAACTGAGCTTAGACTTTTTAAATACAGTTTGTTTGCTGTACCACTCCTACTGTCTTGTGGAAACTGCTGTGATACTTAGCACTTGGTTGTGATTCCATAGGTTTTGAATTTTTAGCAGACCAATGGAATTTCTAAATGCGTTTTTCTACATAAAAGCTATCTAAAAGATGGGGGTTCCTTTCTGGTGGTGTTGCTTTATAACATGAAAAAAATCCATTGAAACCATGAAAGAAAGTTTTTAGTTAAACACCTTGCTATCTCAAGGAAGACATGCATGGAAATGACTCACAAGGAAAAAGCAGTTATGTGGAAAAAAAACCCAAACCAAACAGAAAACCAAAAACAAAATCCAAGGGAAAAAAAAAATCACTCTCAATCAGGAAGATAATGATGGGGTATAGCATTCACATTTATTAAGAGAAAACTTCAGTATGCTGAAGAGCCTTAGGAGAACTCCTCCTTCCTGGTTTGCTTTTTGTCTTCAGAAAATTGAAGCTTGTGTTCTAACCTTTTAAAAGTATTTCACAGTGTTGGCTAAGCAAAATGCCTAGGGCTAGTCTCAAATCTAAATTGCTACTATGCATATGTCTGCTATGAAAATAAGATTTTATTATTCATTCTTTCCCGTAGTTTAGTCCTCTTACTTCTACCTAAGGTGTCTAACTTCTTGCCAAGAAAAGACCTTAAAGGTTGGCAGTTGCTTTGCCTCATGTTCACCCCCTTCGTACCTGTTCTTTAAAACTTAGATATACGATGGATCAGTCTCTTTGATTCTCTGATCTGATGTTCCATCCTACTGCTTCTCTGGCAATATGAACAAGTAGTTTTCTTCAACAGATCATAGTGGGGGGAGTGGCCAACACTCCAGATGACGTGCAGATGTACGCTTCTTGCACTCTTCTTGCATCCAGCTTGAAAGAAAGCAAGTGGGGAAATGAGAAAGCGCAGACTGGAACTATCGAGGCTTGTGTGGCATGGCTTCTGGAAAATGAATTCATTCAGGTTCTGGACTCCAGCAATGATGCAAAAGGTAACATTGGTGGTGTTCTCAGTGATTGCAGTTAGCAGTTTTGAATCAGTAAATCTTCTGCAGCTGGGTAGATGTTCAATGTAACTTTATAATGAGGACTTCACTGCATTTTTTGGTTTTATTTTAAAGAATCGTGTGTATCAAGAATTTTTTTAGCTTTCTGGAGGGTGTCTTTAATACCTGCTTTAATATTTTTTGCATGCATGTGGTGTTCTTGGAAGGCCTCTCTCTGCACATCGCCTCTAAGACTGATACATCCTAGTCTACAAATTCCCAAAGTATCTTTAAACAAGGCATACTTTTACTACAGGATTTGTACACATTAACTGTAGACTATGATTTTTGTCTTTCTGAAGAACCAGTACATTCTAAGAGAATGCAAGTCTCTTCTAGAACTGCTTGGTGTACATGGTTGCACTTTTTTTCCTGATTTTGGCTATTTTCTTAAAATGGCTAAGGATGAGACTCGTACAGTAATAGTAAGAATCCCCATTACAGGTTAATTTGTATCTCTTTTTAAGAAAAGATGATAGAAGATATTTGGTGTTCCTAAGAAAGAAATATGCAAAAAGGTAACTCCTAGGCAGGATGGCAGATGGGATTCCAGTGTTTTTTGTTCAAATAGCTATCAGAACTGTTAGTCTGAGTAGTTAGAGGGATCCGAGCTTGTGATCTGACCTCTGAAAAAGGCTAGTTTAGACTTAGGCAAGTCTAAACTTATTGTTTCAATTTTCCTGTCTTCAGAATGGGGAAATATGCTATTTCTTCTTGAAAAAGCAGTTGGGAAAAGTTAGTAGAATTGACATCTATAAAATACATTGCAACCTGAAAATGAGATATAAACTTGCACTTAAATGTTTCTCTATGTGTTTTTGGTTTTTGTTTTTGTTTTTTTTTTTTTTTTTTTGTTTTTTTTTAAAAAAAAAAGGTCCATTTATTTTGATGCCTAACTCTTTCCTCTTATCTTTCACCAACTGAAGCCATAGAAGTCTTTGCTGACCTGCAGCGAGCTATGAAAAGCTTTGTTCTAGAGAACGATCTGCATATTGTCTATTTGGTAGGTTCCTCATTCTGTGTTTTGTATTTTGTGCTGCCAAAACTAAGGAAAGGAGAGAAAGCACAGTGCAGAGTTCTTGAGGGCTCCATGAACGTAGGGGTTTTTTTTTGTGCTTTACTTAGCTTATCCTTCATGAAGAAAAGTTTCTAAATTGAATGTTCTTCAGAACTAGTCTGTTCCCATAGTGTCTATTGTGTAGGGAGGTGCTGCATGTCCATCTAAGCCCATTTTTGTCACTCCTGACTTTGAAAGATTTCAGAATTTTGTAAGTTTTGGGTGTAGGATAATGGTAAGTTTTCTGAGACACTTGAAGTTGATGAAACAAATTGGTTTTGTTGTGTGTTTGGGATCAGCAGGCTGCATCTCAGATTACTTTTGGAGCCTCAGAAAACTTTTGGGTTTTTAGCATCTATTTTGCCTTCAAAAAGCCTCAGAGAACTACACTGCTTTCTTCCTATGGGTGGGCCTTTCTTTGGTTCCGTAACAGTGAAATTCATCTCCGATTTAGTTTACTTGCCTGGTGATACTGCCAGGGCTAAGGGAAGGAGCGTGATACATCTTTTGAGGGAAGGTGTCCCAAAGTTTGTCAAGATTTATGTGCACGTACACTTAAAAAGCTAAGCAATGCTATTTAAGACCTTTGGAGAGGAAGCCATCAACCTGTGAAGATTAGTGAGGAAACAAGATGGAGTTGCAGTGAACATCTTAGGATTCACGGCTGCCAGAGGCCCATCATGCAATCATCATCCGAAATTTGGCAGTTGTGTTTAGCCTCTTTAAGTATGAAGTGTATTCTCTTTACCAGGCTGATAAATCAAAGGCAAAATTTGGGCTTCATGCCTGAAAAAAAAGTTCACTCCAAGGAGAATATGCTTGTGGTTACGGGAGTTGTTGAGCTAGGGGACAGGGGGAGGCAAGAGATTGAAAGTGCCTGTATCTGCTTGCTGTGTTCACTAACCTAGTTATTTGCTGATACTGTAGAATTTTTTTTTTTTTTTTTTTTTGGATCTATTAATGTCCCATATGTACCCATATCTCTGTTTTAGAGGACCACATTATATTTTGTTGTATTTCTACTAGGCAAAGTGGACTGTTTTGTGTCATGCACTAGTGAATTTTTTCCTTATTTGCATCTCCAAAACAGAAAAAAAAAAAAAGGATGAATTTTGTTCATGTTCTGGGGTAGAGACAGTGATGGCAATATATTTTTTTACCCTGTACTTTTTAATTGCAGCAGCTTGTTATTTTATTTTAAATGAAATACACTATTGAACAAAATGTTCTTGACATTCTCTTCCTAAGCTAGCCTAAAATACTTTCTTGCAAGTCTGTTCATTTTCAAGGCTGAAGGTTTGTTTAGTTTTGATGGCGGTTTTTTGTTTTGTTTTGTTTTTTAAGAATTGTTCTCCATGAGTTCCTTATGGGCTACAGGGAAATTATCTGCTATAATGCTTTTTAATTCTCTTAGGCTTGAATCTTTTACTTGTACAAATATGTGACTGAATTCCAAGACCTTGTATTTTAGGAAAGTTGATTAAAACAAATAAGTATTTGCTAGCTAGGAAAAGAGTTTTCTTTAAAGGAAAAAAAACAACAAACAACAAAAGACAATCCCCCGCCTTAATAACTCTTGTTCTTCTCAGCAGATGAAGGGGGCATGAATGATTTACAACTACGTAGGCATCTGGTATTCTGTATTATGTTAAATGCTCCCCAACAACTGTTAGTTATTTCAAAATAATTAATCCTGCAGTATATCGATACAGATATGAAGACATTTTGTCTCCTCATACTGAAACTGACTCTGTGCTGACTGAACGACAACAGAATTGGTTTCCTGTCTAAAAGCATGTGAATGCTCTGGATGGCTTTTTTGTTAGTGTTAATAAAAGCTGAGATTTCTTGTACTCCAGGTAAATGAAAGCTTCAGCGAGTTCTGGCAAAATCTGTGTTCCGTCCTGCTTTATCAGATGCTGTGGCAGTGGTTAGTGTGGTTGCTAGTGGTTTTAAGAGGCTGATAGATATCTGTAAGTTTTGTTAAAAAAAGAATAAAGTTTTGTTTTGTTAAAGGAGAATAAACATGCAGCTTAAAAATCTTCTAGTGGCTTGGATTTAGGGAGCAATCTGACAGATTCCAAATTGTTTAATCATTAGAGTACCTGTATGAGTCAGATCTCATCAGTATAAATATTAAAAAAGCTAGGTTAGAAGAGCTTTTACTTTCTTTAGGGTACGTGGTTATGACTCAGTGCTTCAGAGTAGTGTGTAGGATGCTCTAACCACATTCCCTAGGCCATATTTTTGTTTACCCAGTGCTCTGTTCTGTTTGTTTCACCAAAATAGTTTTTTGCATTGTCTTATTTTCTTAGGTCACCCCAGTGTATGAGGAATGGACCACAATTGATTGGTACCAGTTTTTCTGCTTATGGGAGAAGCTACCTGCCTCAATGAAACGTGTGGCTGAGCTGGTGGGGATTGAAGAAGGCTTTCTGGCTCGCTCTGTAAAGGGCAAAATCATAGCTAAAACAGAGAAACAGCACAGACAAATGGCCATCCACAAAAGGTAGCCACAAATGGGTGTGAATGTGCAAAGACTAGAAGCTACAACATGTGGAGGGGACAGGCTCTGTGTCTGTTTTCAGGAACTGGCTCTCTTGCTGAGTGAGCTGATAGCTCAGAGAACCTGGACCTGGTCTACTCTGAACTGAGAATACTGCTGGCACAAGATGTTTGTGCTGATGTTTTTGGAAGCCATCTTCTCTGTTTCTTTTGTGTGCTATGCTATAGTACTCTTCTGTCCTGTGCTATCACTGCATTTTGCCATGTACACTAACGTGCCCTGGATGATGATTTCATTTCCACCTGTACTTTTTCTACAGGTTTTTCACCAGTCTTGCCCTTGTGGATTTAATCAGTGAGGTTCCCTTAAAGGATATGACCAAGAAATATGGCTGTAGTCGTGGCCAGCTTCAATCCTTGCAGCAGTCTGCTGCCACCTACGCAGGTGAGTTGTCTGGGCAAAAAACCCCCAGGAGTCTTAGGCTAGTCTGTTTTCTTTCCTTCCAGATATGGGGATAAGATAGCCACAGTGTGGTACTAACAACAACCAGTCTTGTAAAACCACTTCCAGCTTTATAGCTTAATCTGTGGTTGCCCCTGCTTTGAGATGGAACCACAGAGTGTGCTGTGGGAAGGGGGCCAGCCGAGTGGAATCAAGCAGTGCTGTAGCATGCTGAGGTCTGTGGAAATCATCTGTGGACTGTGCAGGAATATAGTTTGTTCAATACTAAGTATGGAGATTAAGTACAAGTCCATTCTGAAGCTTTGCTTTAGCAGGAGAGAGTACCTTTCAGCATGGATAAAGTTTGGGGTCTCTAAGACTTAGCATGGCTTTCTCCTGGTTGCAAAGTTAATTGGCCAGAAAGTATAAGTTTATAGTTTTCAAAACAGAGCGAGTAGTTTCTGGGTCATTTATCACCAGATAACAAGAAGTCAGATAGCTGTCACCTTTAACTTAACTTCCTTAAGAGGGCTGTGTAGGAGTAGAAGTAACAGCCCACCATGTGACTGAGATATTTTTTTTTTCTATTGCCTAAGTCCTCCATTACTCCCTAAGTGGGTCTTCAATTTTTAAGACAGTTTTAGCTCAACTTGCAAAACCCTATGTGTGGGTTGCAGCATGAGTCAAAGCCCCAAAATGAAAAGGTCACGCCAACTGATGCAGTGTAGTTTAAATTAATTCTGGTAGTATAAATAACTTTTTGTTGTAGCAGTTTCATAATTCTCTATTCCCAGTGTTAATCATTTTCAGCAATCAGGTAGATTAGTGCAGGAACAAAAGTAATTTGGGAAGTAAAATGAACTGTTGACGTGACATATAGTTAAGAGATATGATAAAAGTTTTATTCTATAATCACTAAAAAAATAGTGAGGGATGCCATGTCTTTCAGTTATTTTCATATTCTGTAGATGCAATGTGTGAGTAATAAACTGCCTTTTCCCTGCTCTTTTCTCATTCCATGTGCTGCGGACTGCAGTTGTAACCTTTGTCACAGGCTTTGCTACCTCCTATGGTACTCTCAGTAACTGAAGTTCTGCAGGCCAAGTTCTGATGTTATGGACATCGGTACTGGCTTTCCTCAAAGATCTGTGCCTTCTTTTAGTGCCTCTCATCACTATTTTTTCTGTCTTCTTTTCTTCAGTGTGTTTGGTTCGTTGGAATCCTGTTACAGGATATGCATGTGCTTCACACTTTCAAGATTAGCGTCTTCGTAAAAGCAGTTGTCATTCAGAATTTCTACCTCACTGATCAACTAGTTAATTCTAGATTAAGTTGAGTTCTGCGAGACCAGCACCTAATCATAGTTATAATAAACATGAATTAGTTTCTCTAAGTAATGGGAAGGTGAGAAATGTAAAGTGAATGCCTATTCAGATGAGGGGGGAAAAATAGATCCAGCTTAGTAGAACTGGAGCTGGAGTTAAGACATTGATGTAACTTCTGTGTTCCAGGAATGGTAACGGTTTTCTGTAATCGACTGGGCTGGCACAACATGGAGCTGTTGCTCTCCCAGTTCCAGAGCCGCCTCACTTTTGGGGTTCATAGGGAGCTTTGTGACCTGGTACGAGTGTCTCTGCTGAATGCACAGCGTGCTAGGATGCTTTACAATGCTGGCTTTGTCACAGTGGCTGATCTTGCTAAAGCCAGTCCTGATGATGTGGCAACTGCTCTGAAGAATTCAGTACCATTCAAAAGGTGAGAAATCAGTAAGTCCAGAAGTCAAGTAAAGGAATTTGTTTGTAAGGTGAAGGATTACAGGATGAAACCTGTAATTAAATATGGCAACCTTTTGGGACTTGGTGCCAAACATGTTAGAAATAACTTGTAGGTCTCTGTGACTGATCACAGTCATTCCATGATTATTTTGAAATGAATAGAAGCATCTTTTATTTGCAGCATAAGTTTGTGAGACCTAATTTTCTTCTTGTTCCTCTTTTCAATGCACTGTTTAGTCCCGGGTGAATTGTTGATGCTTTCTGGAGACCTTTTGCTGCCTCTAAAAGGCAGCTCCACCATATGATCAAATGAGTTGACGATTTATTACTGTGTATCATTTGAGATTATCTTGTGATTTTCATGTTCGTGCAACAGCAAGCTTCCTTGATCAAGTACCTGTTGTGTGTGTGACATGTCAGACTGTGCCATGACACCTGTCTGGTTCATGCTCCTGAAGTTTCCTTTCTTTGGAAAACAGTGCATGGAGGAGGATTGATTCAGACCTGGATCTTGCCCTGTTAGGGAGTTGAGACTCATCTGGGGTACATGTTTGGACACGGAAACCTGGCAATGCTTCTGGGGTATGCAGCCAGTAATATCTTTCATCGACATCAATTCACATATAGAAAACTGAAATAGTTATTTCCTGTTAAGTGCATTGTATTTTGGATATAGTGCTTCTGTGAAGCTAGGAAGCTGTGAAGCTAATTGAAATGGGAGCAGAGCAGAATAGTGCCAGCTCCTTGTGTCGTTTGTTATTTTCTGCATGAAAGTTTACATCTGTCTGTTACCTTTCCCATAGTGTTCGTAGGGCTGTGGATGAAGATGAAGAGTCAGCAGAGGAGCGTCGGACTGTGCGCAGTATCTGGATGGCTGGAATGAAAGGCTTAACCGAAAGAGAAGCAGCTTCCCTCATTGTGGAGGAAGCCAGGGGGCTTCTCCAGCAGGATTTGGCACTGATGGGAGTGCAGTGGAACCCAGAGTCTTTTCTCGAGTCTGATACATCCTCTATGATCAGCAGAGAGTCAGAACTGGAAGACAGACTACATAGACCAAATGGAGAGCAGTCTTCTGAGTCTTCTAGGCTGTTAAACAAAAAAGGGTGTAGAGTTCAACATTGTAATGGCCTTCGTTCTCAGACTGGAAACTTATCAAATATTAAAAAAGGATATAAAAGGCAACTAAGAGGTAGTACAGAAAACTCCAGATTTGAATGTGAAGCCCCAGGCAGGAGACAGGCTCAAGCAGAGGATGACAATGATGAAGTTGTGTACAGTGCTAGAAAACGGCCAAATATGTGCAGAGATAATGAAAACGTAGCAGGAATTTCTCTGGTCAAAACCAAGATGGATTCCAGGAGAGCGATTCCAGAACTCCCTACTGAACAAGGAAAAACACCAACATTGAGAACAAAGTCTTCAGCCTCTAGATTGATAAAGAGTACGGACATGCATTTAAACCGGACTAGGAACAAAAATACTGCTTCAAAACTGCAGAGGTCACTTCTTGAAGATTCAAATATGCTTAGCATAGACATACAAAAGCCACCTGCTTTCCACCCCACCATCTCTAAAAATATTTTTTTTTCAGACCAAAATAATAAGAAACTTATGGAAACAGGGTCTATAACTCATAAAGTCTCAAATTCTGTACAGATGGGGGAAATTAATCTTGGGAGGAAAGATAAAATGGAAGGATTATTTACAGAGCCTACCACCACTAATGAAGGCATGCCT